AAGAGGATGTTACCGCCGGAACAAGATTGACACAAACACACTAGGCTAGGTTTCATGCGGCAATGGGCATGGACAAGTATCATAACGCACTTTGGCATGCGACTGTTATGTCAAATGACTGAAAACTTCAATTCTAATCATAACTATATTAAACATTGTCTTGTGGCACTGGGTGTTTGTAACTGTTCGAAGTAGTTGTAATGTATCATGGGACTGCTATATGTTTGTTCATCATAATTTTGGTTTTACTTGGTGAGTTTTAGCATGAAAATCTTATTTTGCTTGGTTCTGTTGGTTTTGACATGATTTTTTTACTTGTTTGGCAGGGCTACATCTGCTGTCACACATGTCGTCCTTGGTCAATTTAAAACATGCGTCATTCTTCTAGGAAACTACTACCTCTTTAGTTCCAATCCAGGCAAGACAAGTATTTCTGGGGCTTTCACAGCCATTGCCGGAATGTCCATTTACACTTACCTTAATTTGAAGCTGCAATCAAGCAAAACTTCCCCTCGGCAAGCCACCTCTTTACCAAAATCTAAACTGAGCAAAGAAAACGGCAACACCCACGATGGAAATTATGGTTTGGAATCTGTCTAACTTATCAGCGTAGATACGTGAGAAGATCTAATTCATCACTAACTTGAGCTGCTGGGCATTGTTTCATTTATTTGTTTTGGTTTTTAGCATAAAATTTTCCGATTCTGATTTTAAAGGCAAAGGTCTATCCATGCATACCATGTATTAGAGTTTGGTGTTAGTCTGTATGGCAAGGTCACCTTTTGTAGATTCTGTTGGGTTCTTCAGCATGGTCTTGGCTGCAAATTTCACCGTATATATATTAACGAATCCAAGGTTATTCTTTGTACTGGTTACTGCTTATTCGTGTGTTTCATTTATTTCTTGTTTGCTCGAAATGTCGCACTTGATGTCGTAGCTACTTAAGTTTTTGTGAGTTTGTTTTAGTCAGCAGAATAATTTGCGCATGACGGTTATTTCCTCGGGGCAGGGGTTTAATATAACAGTGTTTTTTTCCTTTTATCATTTATAAGACTTGTCATTTATAAGTGAAGATCATAAATACTACTAGACAATATTACTCAATGGTGACTGAAGCTTTTCTTTGTCACTCTTGAAATTAGATTATGGCTCTCTTGTTATAACCCTAAATTCCTATTTATACATTTCCCAAATATTCAATTATTCTATCATCTTGTTATAACCCCAAATATGCATGCATCTTAATTTTCTTTTATACTTTAGTTTATTTGTTTTTCCTAAAATAATTTTATTAGTTTCTAAGATTGGTCATTGGTGGTCTTTGTTAAGAATTAGATTGGAATGAATAATTCTCAAAATAGATGAGTTTCATGTTGGGGGGATTAGACATAAATGAAACTTGTGTCTTCTAATTCTACCATTTGAGGATCAGAATTGATAAGATTTTTAAAAAAATTAATACTACACTTACCACATATTTGTACCATCATTTGTGTCATCTCTCTAATAGAGGTAAGACCTATCAACACGTATGGGTCCCAACTCTATTAAAGAGATGTCACATGTGATGATACAAATATGTGGTAAGAATAACATTTTTGTTTCTTTAAAAAAAATTAATTTATCTTCTACCTTCAAGTTGGATAACAATTTTTTCTTATCTTCATGCAATGTGCATTGAAAATAATGATTATTCATTTTAATCCAATTATCTATATACACCACACAAGGCTTCAAGACTATGTTGACAATTAGGGGTGGGTTCAAAAAACCGAAAACCGAAAAAAACCGAAAACCAAACCGAACCGAAACCGAAAAAACCGAACCGAACGAAAAAACCGAACCGAATTGAAAAAACCGAACCGAACCGAATTCTTTTGGTTCGGTTCGGTTTTAGTGATCTAGAAACCGAACCAAACCGAACCGAACCGAATTAATTAAATTAATTTTTTTATTTAATTATTTTTGTTTTGGGTATTATTTTCTAAACCCAATTTGTAAGTTAAAATGTGCTAACCCAATGTGTTGCCAAACTTTAAGCTCAAAATATTAAAAAAAGGCCTATAAAAACTCTAAACCCTAACCTATTATTTCTCCCCCATATAAGGTTCCGGAACCAAACCTCTTCCCGAAGTACCTACATCCATCTCCATAGCACTGTCTGTCTACTTATGCGCCAGCTTTCTTTTCCAAATCTACTCTCATCATATAACATGTAACATAATCCATAAACATTTATTTCGGGTAGATATTACTTGGGTAATTTGTGATGGAAAAGAATCCAACACACACTAAATAAATCCACCCACGCATTACCTTTACTAATCAAGTTGTCAACATGTAGTTACAAGCAAACAACACTGATCTTTGAAAAAACATCATAACAATTTAACTTTTTCTAAGTCATTTTGTACGATTTTTGTGTGATTTTTGTGTTGTGAGGTTGTTAGTTTGGACTTTGAAAGACTTGATTGATGATTTTAGTTCAACTTTAAATGTTTATTTTCATTGTCTTTGATTCTAGTTAGAGTGTTTATGTTATGATTGTGTTGGATATGTTAAAATTTAAAATTTCAATGTTTTTCATTTTTTGAAAAAAAAATAAAAACAAAAAACCGAAACCGAACCGAAACCGAACCGGAAAAAACCGAACCGAAAAAAAACCGAACCGAAAAAAACCGAAAAAAAATTGAACCGAACCGAACCGAACCGAAATTTCGGTTTGGTTTCGGTTTTGGCAAAAAACCGAACCGATTTAAACCGAACCCACCCCTATTGACAATTGCATCTTTTTTGGCTTGCTTCTTAGAGCATCTCCACCGGTTTTAGGGGGAAAGAGCAGTGATATTGCCCTTCTATTCACTCTAAATAGTAATTGGCTTTGTGCAAGTCCACCTGTTAGAGAAGAGGATGGGCAAGGGCAAGCACAATTATTATTCATAAATATATATTTTTATGTTTTATGCCTTGTAATTTTGTGCTTAGTAAGTTTTTTCTTTGAAAATAGGGTAAATCTCAGTTTACTACCTTGTTTTGTGATTTTCAACATTTGGTACATGACATTTTTTTCGTCCCAACATACCTAAAATGTTAATTTTGGGACAGTCTCATATATCCGTTAGTCTTGCTGTTAAGTTTCCCGTTAACTGATGATGTGGCATTCACGTGAATAATAATCGGACGCCACATGTCAATAAGGATCTTAACTGGATATTAAAAATTAAAAAAATTAAAAATTACAAAATTACAAAAAAAAAAACAGTTGTCTTCTTCCTCACACCCCCGACCCGCCCTCCCTTTGACTCGGCCATCGACTCCCTCAACTCGCTCGAGTTCCCCTTCTCCTTCTCTTCTTCTAAGCGCTTATAGCGTCGCCCACAACAACAATCGTGCTAAGGGTTAGGGTTTCCAGTTCTTTACTCTGATTCTTCCAACAAGTCTCTTTCCAATTCTTAATTTTATAGGGTTAGGGTTTTCATTTCGGGCTTTCTCTCCGTGAGCGATTTTTCCCGACTCTCAGGTGAGTAATTCACTGTTTCGAATTTGAATTTTTCTTTTAAATTAATCTCAGTGGAAATCCCTAGTTCAATTGCTAAATTTTGTTGAACTTTCTCTGTGTGTTTTAATTTGGTTACTGAGTTTTGTTATCAGAGCTTTGATTTGTTATTTGAATTTCACTTTCTGTTTGTTTATCTGAATTCAGAAACTCCATTTGGCTAGTTGAATTTCATTAGGGATATGTTCCTCTTTCTGTTTCCATCTTGTCTTTCTCCTTGGTTCTCTTCTGCCTGTTTCTGCTATTCTGAGCGGCCGTTGGAAGCCCGAATAGAAGAGGCTGTAGTCGATTTGTTTCTCTAAAGCTCGCCAAAATAGCTCAGGTAATAGCTCCCGAACTTATTAGGGTTTGATGTTGTGTGCCTTTACCAAGAGAGGGGAAGAAGCGATGAAGGAGAGTCGGAGAAGGGGAACTCGGGCGAGTTGAGGGAATCGATGGCCAAGTCAAAGGGAGGGGAAGAAGGGACGAAGGAGAGTCGTCAAAGGTGCAGAGGTTGGGTGGGTGCTCTCGGAGAGAAGGGAGGGAGGGCCGGGGGTGTGAGGAAGAAGACTGTTTTATTTATTTATTTTTTTAATATCCACATGGGATTTTATTGACACGTCACGCTCAGTTATTGTCCACGTTGGCACCACGTCATCAATTAAAGGGATATGTAACAGTTAGGCTAACAGATATATGAAACTGTCCCAAAAATAACATTTTAAGTATGACTTTGGACGAAAAAACATTCATGTACAAAATATTAAAAATCACAAAACTTGAGGATAAACTGATATTTACCCTTGAAAATAAAATTCCGTATTTAACTTCAAATAGAAATCAAAGCAGAATTACAAATAAGCATAATTAATTAAATGAGAAAGACGTAGATAGGTAATTAGTCTGCCCCTTACCTGTCCATTCAGGTCTTTCAATATCTTAAACTATCAGAGGGTTGTGCAATTTTTTCCTTGTGCTGTCTTTACACTAGTTTTACGACTTGCAAGGTTTAGTGATCGTGAGTGCTATTCTTCTTGTTGGTTAGATGTGGGCTTTCCAAAGTTGAGGAACTAGTCTATTCATGATCAGTTTATAATTGCAATTGTGATATTTCTTTTGGCTTATGTGACTTTTTGGTTATGTTTAAAATGTCAATTCCATTTTCTTGATAATTTCTTTTAAAAAAATTTTTTAGTGAAAAAGGCTTCCAATTGCAGTAAGAGGACTACTTTTTTCTTTGCTTTAATTTGAGGTAGGCCCTTGTTTTTTCTTTGCTTTATTTCAACTATCAAAATCCCTCTCATTCTCTATTGTTGAATAAAACCCTAAGCAATGAAACTATAAACATGTTGTTTGAGAAAAATTATTTTTGACGAATGGAACACGAAATCGGTGTTTCGAAAGCTTTGAAATCATTATTATTGTTATTGAAAAATGTTCAAATGAGTCTAAACATTTTTTTTTTAAATCATTCAATTTGAAATCATTGGGCAAACTAAAGTTCATATAGTTTGAAATCATTCGGCAAAATTAAAAATGAGTGTTATAAGATTTGAGAAATGTGGGATGTATAAAAAATGTGGGGTGTGTGTAGAAAATGTAAGATGTATATTAAGAACGTGGGCTGTGAGGGTATTTTGGGGAAGAAAGTGAGGTGTATTAAGATAATTTTTAATTGAAAAAGTAAATATGAGGTGTATTAAGTACGTGATGTTTATTCAATCATTTATGGGATGCTAATATAATAAGCTTTTTCAATTGAAAATTCCAGATTTAATTTTAATGGACTAAATCACCATGGAAAGATCTGTCCCGGTAAAACAAGTAAAGAATAAAATAAAAAATCAAGTTTGTGATCTGAGGGAACGTCCCAGATTAAATGACCCGGACGGATGCGGAGAGACAGATCCGTTTTAATAGGAAAGAAGGAAACGCCGCAGCCTGTTGCCCTCAGATTACTTGGCGCGATACCGGGGGTATGTAATTAAGCCAATATTTCCGTCTGTTATTAGTTTTTCCACCTGGTACTCTTCTTTCCTAAATTGCTCTCTCAATTTTATTTTATTTTTTATTTAATGTCTTACGATTTCCCCTTGAATTTGTGATTGCTTGTTGAAATTACGATTGCCATAATTTGGGATTCAATTTTTGTTTGTTTGTTGAAATTAGGGCTAGCGTAATTGGGGATTTTTCTGGGTGTTGGCGTGTTTGAGCATGCACCCAACCCCGTTATGGGGAAAAAAATCGACAGACTTAACATTTTTGTGTTCGATTTTTGTAATTACAGTATTTCTGTAATCTTTTAATTGCTTTCAACAGATGGCATCTCTTGGAGAAGAGTACCCTGACGACACCCTTAAATTTATGCGTCTTGCTATAGAACAGGTAATGCTGCGGCTTCACATTAGCTGGCTGTAACCTTAAGTTGTTGGATAGTAATCGGTAAATTACAATAGCTACTATTAACATCTTAAACTAGGGGAGGTTTATAAACTGTGGGATGCGATTTGGTTTCAATTTTCAAGGAACTTGTGTTTCTACATTTCTGAGACAGCATCACTTCAAACTCTGTATTTCCTTTTTTATTCTATGATGTTTTGTTTATCTTATGCTGCCGGTCTCAATCCCGGATAAATGAGGAGGGGGAGGGCGTCAAGTAGTCGACAGCCGGTACTTCGTTTTCACGTCGAATCCCAATGAGAACAGATCCTAAACGAAATTGCTGAAGTTAGGTCGTCACTCGGACGTGACGAGTTGTGTGGCCTGAGCACAATGATGAGTGAGCAAGGGTTGCAGAATCTCTATCGGTGCCCGAATGCAGTGTCAAATGAGTAAGAATGTTATAGAAACTTTCTTTTTGAACGATTCCACTCAAAGTTGTTTGAAAACATCTGTTTTCATCAATTTTGCCCCAGACAGGTAAAAGAAGTATTTTGACCTTACTGGACGAGTGAGTCAAAGAATCTAGGACATGAGGGTAGGGTTCAAGAGAGCAAAATGCATTTAGGAACGTGGAATATAGGAACCTTAATGAGCAAATCTATGGAAATAATGGAAGTTATGGTGAGGAGAAAGATAAGTATTATGTGCCTCTAGGAACTAAGTGGGTCGGTCTTAAGGCAAAAGAACTTGAAGACTCGAGTTTTAAGTTTTAGTATTCGGGCACAAACAAATCCAGAAACGGTATAAAACTCTAACAAGAGATGTTGGAGATGTTAATAGGGTTTGGGATAGAATTATAGCAATCAAGATTGTGATAGGACAAGAACTTATCAATGTGATTAGTGCGCATGCTATTTGATTTTTCCAACCCATGATGAGTTGTCTCGAGTCTATTAGGATTTATAGTTGTAGAAGATTACATCGTTTACCAAATTGAAGCTGTTTTCCCAAATGAAGTTGTTAATTTAATTTAAATTGTTTACCCAATTGAAGTTGTTTTCCCAATTGGAGTTGGTTTCTCAATTGGAGAATGATTCATAATTAAATTCCAATTAGGATTATAATTCTTATTGAAGAAGACTTTTATTATGTCTATATAAATGGGCTATTGCACTAGTTTTGAATTGGAGCAAAACAATAAATTGTATACTACTTAATGAGTAAAGAGTTAGAGAATATTGTAAGGAAAAAGAGTGTGCGAGAGAAAAGAAAAGAGATAAAAAGTGTATTTCTTGTTCTTGTTCATTTAGTTTTTTCGTTAAGTCTTTATCCTAGAGGCTTGATAAGATTATTCGTCTTACTCATTGATATATTGATATATTGTTGTTGCTGTTGCCTTGTGGATGTAGGCACATATAGTCGAACCACGTTAATTCTTGATGTTATTTATCTTGGTTGTTTTATTTTCAACTTCTGAGTTTGTTCTGTTTTTTGCATTTTAAATGCGATATTCACAACACATGCACTTCAAGTTGGGTTGGATAGGAGTATGAAGAATTTGGGAAGATCTTGGAAAATTGGTCTAAGGAATCTCCCAGACATAGAAGGTACTCATAGGAGGAGATTTAAATGGACATGAGGACAATGAGACAATCAACTACAAGGGTTTCCATGGTGGCCATGGTTTTGGGGAGAGTAATGAGGTGGGGAAGTCATTTTTTGTAATGACAAATGATCTATTTCTAGCCAATACTTCTTTAAAAAAAGAGGAGCACGTGATCACCTATAAGAACAGGTCATCAAATACACAAATAGATTTCTTTTTAATGAGGAAGGGGGATTGTGAGATAGAAGAAAGAACAAGATCTTGAAGTGTCCAACAACTAGATGGTGGAATCTAAAAGGAGAAAAACAAGTCACTTTCAAAGAGAAAGTACTTGCCCAAGGTGTTCAGAATACAGAGGGGAATGCTAGCCAATGTGGAATTCCATGGCTAGCTGTATTCGAGGTATTAGGAGAGTCCAAGGTTTTGCTCCACATTAAAAGGAATCTTGGTGGTGGAAAGATGAGGTACAAGAAAAAGTTAAGGTTAAGAAGGTTTGTTGTAAAACCTTATACAAGGATATAACTGATGAAAACTGTGAGAGGTATATAGTAGTGAAGAAGGCAAAGAAAGCCATGAGAGAAGCGAAACTAATGGCTTTTGACAATATGGATAAGTGTTTGGGTACCAACGAAGGAGAGTTGAATATCTATAAATTGACGAAAGCAAGGAAAAGGAGGACAAAGAGACTTGAACTAAGATGCATCAAGGATGAAAAAGGAAATATTTTAGCTACGGAGAGAGCGGTTAAAGACAGATGGAGAGATTCTTCTCAATGAAGAACACAAAAGGAGTACTTCTTTAGGCGAGTTGCGTAACTCGGAAGAGTGTAGAAATTACTCATGCCGCCGAATTAGGAACGAGTAAGTGGTTGTAGCTTTAAAAAAGATGAAACATAGAAAAGCAGTAGGTCTCGACTGATCAAAGTGTGGAAGGTCTGGGGAGACACGGGTATAGCATGGTTCACAAACCTTTTCAATAAGATTTTGAAAACGAAGATGCTAAATGAGTGGCGAAAAAGCTTTGTTACCTATCTACGAAAATAGGTGACATACAAAATTGCATGAATTATAGGAGTATTAAGTTAATGAGTCATATAATATAGCTTTGGAAGAGAGTTATTAAGTATAGACTGAGGCAACAGACATGGGCCTTAGACAACCAATTTGGGTACATGCCAGGGTGCTCAACTATGGAGGCAATCTATCTCTTACGGAGATCGTTAGGATTTGGTTCATTTTTTGTTAAAGTCCTATTTTATTTAGGATTGTATTAAGAAAGCTAAAGGTGCACATATTTTTGTCCTAGTCCTAAGTTCAAGAAAGAGAAACAAGTGATGGAGAAGGTGCCCTAGCCCTAAAGCCCGCCTATTGTATGCAATCGTATGCACACGGCTGACGGCCTAGCATAGCTCAATCAATCAACGTCGCTTCCAAGTACATGACAAATCCAGGAAAGCAACTTGGGATGCAGTCAAGTGGATTATGTTACTTGAAAGGTTCCTGGCGACAAGGGATTATGTTTGAGAAGTAAAAAGAAAATGCAGGGGTGTTAGGATATGTTGATGTTGACTATGCATAGGTGTTGGAATATGTTGATGTTGACTATGCAGGGGACTTTGACAAGAGAAGGTCAACTTCTGATTATGTCATTACATGCGACCAATCAGTTGGAGGGCACTACTACAACTAGTTACAACTTTGTCGACCACAAAAGCAAAGTACATAGCTCTGGCCAAAACGAAGCAATTTGGTGTAGTGGCTTGGTAAGTCAAATGTGAATCACTTAGGATTATGTGAAGCTGAAATGTGACAGTCAATGTGTCATTCACTTGACAAAGAATAGCTTTTCCATGGAAGATCAAAGCACTTTGGACTAAGGTATCACAAAATCCGGGATTGGGTGGAGTCCAAGGAGATTTGGGTTGAAAAGGTTCACAAGGATGACAGTCATGCAGATTACCTAGCATTGCTTGAAATTGATCAATCTCATTGATTGATTAACGTTCAACCTCCTCACTTGAGGTGCAATGAGGCAAGAAGAAGTTTCCCCTCCTCACTTGAGGTGCAATGAGGCGAGAAGAAGTTTGCCAAGGTAAAGATACTGTAAGTTTTATGGAGCTGCTTCAAGAAGGTTTGAAGATACTTTGGGTTGCAACTGTCATGACTTGGGTTGCAACTGTCATGACTTGGTTTGACTCACCAAGGTGGAGATTGTTAGGATTTGGTTTGTCTTTTGTTAAAGTCTTATTTTGTTTAGGCTTGTATTAGGAAAGCTAAAGGTGCATAGATTATTGTCCTACAAGGATTATGAAAGAATGTACAATTAGACTAGGGACATTTGAAACGAAGACCTACAGATGCTCCGGTTAGAAAATGTGATTATGAGACATAGGAAAGAGGGTAGAGAAAGACCTAGGGAGTTGGACTGAGACTTTAAGAAAGACATGGAGTATTCGGAGCGAATGGAAGATTAGGGCAAAACCGAGCACAGTGGCATTCTAGGGCTGTTCTGGTTCCAATCATCCAACAGAAATTTGTGTTTCAGGCTATATTAGATGATGGAAACTTTATGCCTCATGTGAATTCAATGCTGTGCATGCCACTTTATTATTTTTTTAATAGTTATTTTTGGGCGATTAAATTTGCTATGCTTTTCGGTGTATAACTTCCATATTTGGTCCTGCTTTCGGTTTGCAGGCAAATGAAGCTTTGGACAGCCTTGAAGTTCCTGTTGGGTAAGTTTTCTGTTAATTGCATAAACTGTGTTTGCCACACTTTTACGAGTCTTTATACTCCTGAGCTTTATACTCACCCGTTTTGGCCATTTGATCACATAACTGCTGGAAATAGGTTAATATACCTTGTTATATATGTGTAGCTTGAAAATTATTCTCTTCTGAATTTTGAAAGTAGCCCTGTTGCTCATTTAGGGCAAGACTGTAGGGGTAACACAACTTTTCACTTTATTAAGCTTCCCAAGCCGAATTAAAAAATTTAAAGTATCATATACCCATCTTATCTTTTTATTCTTCTGATCACCTTCTTGAAGTTTGATGTGACATGAGCTCAATTGCTTCTTGTGTTAAAAATCAAGGGTTTACTTTATATTAATGCACTTTTCTAATCTATAAATTTGATTGAATAGCTGTGTGATTGTTGAAGATGGGAAGGTCATAGCCTCGGGAAGAAATCGAACTAATGAGACACGAAATGTAAGTTTACCATTGGTTCTGATGTTGAAGAAATAATTGTTCCTGTTTATCTGGATATTTGTTTCTGAGCCTTCTTTTCATTTGGCGAAAATCCCAATACCTTGTCATGTCTCTGGTTTATCCATAAAAATAATTTTAACATCTCAATTTCTTATTCTCTTAAGTTTTGTTTGGGGGAGGGACTTCAAAATTCCAAGGCATATAGGCAAAATAAAGAAGAAATGAATCACAAAAAGTTAGATAGGAGGAACTAGAAAATGCACCACATGTGCATAACAAAGGCACATAAGAGGAATTTGTAAAATGACTCCTTTAAAGTAGTCATTTGCAAATCCCTCTCGCATGCCTTTTCCTTTTGTAATGCTCATGTGGTGCTTTGTAATCCTCCCATTAAACTTTTTGTGATTCATTTCTTCATCACTATGTCTAAATCCGTTGAATTTAAAAGTTCCTCACCCAACTGTACCCTTAAAGACAGTTTTCCTTGGAACCACAAGGAAATAGTGGGACCCAGTTAATGCATTAACTCGAATATCTTGAGGATTGTTCATTGTTTGTGTATATATGTTCATTGTTTGTGTACATAGCTTGCATCTTTAATGCCTTACCGATTTCAATGAGGGTGGGTGGGTGTTCAGTTTGATCTTGGTACTTTACTGTTCTTTTATTTTTCCTGCCTTCTACTTTGACTCAAAAGTACAGTTCTATGGTTAAATTCTTGGATCAAATGTTTCAAAATAATAGATGAAATTCTTGGATCAAATGTTTCAAAATATACTGACTGTTTATTGCATTCTTTGGAGTCTTTCTTACAATTATAGCATTATAATAATTCATAATATATCTGTTTGGCACTTGCTTGCTTTCTTTAATGTTCACGAGAACTCTGTTTCCTATGTAAGCCTTTTGAACTGGGAACTTATGAGTTTCTAATCTAACGTGCTTGCCATAAAAATGCAGGCTACAAGGCATGCAGAGATGGAAGCCATTGATACTCTTCTTGAGCAGTGGAGAGAACAGAGGCTTTCAAAGTCACAAGTTGCCGAAAAGTTTTCAAAATGTAGACTCTATGTTACATGTGAGCCATGCATAATGTGTGCAGCGGCTTTATCATTTATTGGTATGCCCCTTTTCTTATGGGAATTGTTATTAGCACTCCAAAATTCTCATTCTACACTCCAAACTTTCTATATTTAGAAAGAAAAATAGACTTGTGAGGAGTGTAGAATGATATTTGTGGAGTGCCAATAACACTTCCCTTTCTTATAATCTGCAAATAAATGTTGAGATTTCTTTATCTTCCTTTTGTCACTTGGATTAATGTAGAGGTGACTCTTCCTCCCATGTTTAGGAATAAGGGAAGTATTTTATGGTTGTGCCAATGACAAATTTGGTGGGTGTGGATCAATATTGTCATTGCACTCAAGTAGCTTTGAGCCACAAACGAGGTTCATTTCTGAACCCACATCACAATCAAGATTTGATTGAGTTTTTGTAGTGTCTTCCCTAATCATTGCTTTTTCTCTGGGTTATCTTTAACAAATTGTTCGCTTGTTTTGGTGTACCATTCCGGGAGAGTTTCTGAATAACATAATGCAGGGAACCACATAAGTATCTATATATAGTAACCCGCTGTGACTGACAGACACGCACCACAAAATTCATAGATATATGCACATATTTGCCATCAACAATTTAATATCACAAAACATGAAATCTCTCACTAAAGATGGGGTGTTGAGGACATCTGATGAAATCTTTTCGTCATTGAGATTGTGCCGATTCTTATCGCACCACAAAATTGGTCTTAACGTTGATTGTTTCCCACGGGTTTAGTGGGTTCTTAATAAGTTAATCAATACATTCAGCCAAAAAGAAACTAGTTAGACAGTACAAACAATCCTACCATACAGAAACCATGTTGCCTATTTATTGACTTGGCTGTAAGAGGTAAGCTGGAAGTGTTTTTTGGTGATTCCTTAGCTGTAGCTAATGCTGAAGACTCTCTGGAATTCTCCGATTTTCTAGCCAACATTATTGTCTCTCAGTCTCACTTTCTGTTTGTTGTATAGTGGTGGAGCTCCAAAGGGGAAAGGATTCAAATGCACTGGAGGGATAATGGCAACAGAAGCAGTCTCACTTTTTCGCAGTTTTTATGAGCAGGGAAACCCTAATGGTATCTAGTTCATGTTTAATTTATATTTTTCTGGAATCTAATCGTTACTTTTACATTTTATAGTTTGTCAACTCCTGCTCATTGGAGGATTTCAATATGTAGCACAAATTTTTGTCAGATTCACTGCCCTTGTTCATGTTCGTTACTTAGAATATTTCATCATTTGGTTAAAGTATTTGAGATTTTTCTTCATGTCTTTAATTTACTGTATTGTTTGGTTTCTTTCAGCTCCAAAGCCTCATAGGCCTCTTGCTCAACAAGCAACGCAATGAGTACGTAAGAGATTCAGTACTTTCTCACCTCATTTATCAAATGGTACCATTGAGTCTTTTCGAGTTCATTTTCTCTTTTAATTTGATTGTTTTCTTGCTCGCTTTGCAGTTTCTGTTATGTTAACGTTCTGTTTGTACCCTTTTTTGTCCTCTTTTTTTCACTGTTTAATGTAACAATCGTTAATTTGATTTCAGAGGTCAAAAATCAAGTGCAAGACCAAAGCAAGACCTTCCTAAGGTTTGCAACAGCCCAAAATTGGATTTTGCGGACTTCGGAAAGGGAAACGGATGAAAACTTTGGGAAAACTACACGAAATATGGATCTCTTCGATATTTTCTACTATCACTACAATCATGTAATCCAAAGTTGGTTGAATTTATAAGAAGCTCGTTTGATGTTTAGGATAGGTTTGACTTGGACGGTTCACTAGATTTAATGAATGTCGAACACAAGATATGTATGTTAACCAATGTTTTAAAAAACTCGCCTCGAGGCACGCCTAGGGCGCCCTTGAGGCTGGGCGCCATGGCTAATGCCTCAGTTTTGTTGGAGTGGGCGAAAGGCTTCGCCGGAGCCGCCTAGGCGCACCTCAGTGAGTTTTTTTTTTTTTTTCTTTACTCCCAAACCCAAATTTTGGGTAGGATTTTAACTGTCTCATACCTCTTCCTTGCACTTTTGTCTCTATGCCTTTTTTTTGATTTTTTATTTTTTATATAATGGATGTGTGTGTTATTTGCGTGCATTGTTATATGTGTGCTCATTGTGTTTTTCATCCTCTATTTTATGCATATATAATATAATATATATATATATATATATACACACACATATATATTTATAATATATGTGTATGCTCAGGGTGATTATTGATTAATAATCTTCTTATTTTTAATATACTATATGTGTACGCTCAGTGTATATATTAAAAAATTTAAGTCCCGTGAGGCTTCGCCTCACACGTAGGCCGGGCTTCCCCTCGGATGCCTCGCCCACGCCTCACGCTTTTAATACACTGATGTTAACTTGCATATTCTGTCGAAATGGAGGTAGAAGATGGGGAAGTCACAAAACAAACCTGTCCCACTCAATCCTACTAATTTTTTTGGGGATTAAGAGGGACAAGTTTTCTTCATGATTTCTCTATCTTTTACCTTTACCTGGATAAAATATGTAAGTTAGCAGCCATATTTTCATTCAACATTCTTTGGAATTTGGTGACCTGTCTAAGCCATGCCAATCCTAAACATCAAATGAGGCCGATGTTCCAAGAAAGGCTGTTTGGAGAGTCCATAATTCATAGTTAAATTTGAAGTCCTAAACTAATGAGAGTATCGAACTCCTTTAATCGCAGACTTAATGGGCTGATAACTTAAGCAACAGAAGTTATGCATTTCATGGAGAAATTCTTAAGTACATAGTTCATATGGTATTGACACATGCATAAGTGTAGTGGAACCCAATTTGTAACGATTGCCTGATGCATATAGCTCGAATGAGATTCATAAGTGTATGTCATGAGTGTTAGTTACCTTTTGTGCAAGTGCGAGATTGTTGTAGCACGTCCGAAAAGCAATTGGCATACCAACACATGGGTGGTTATTCTTGGAAATCCAATTTCAAGTTACAACTACAAGGGCAAGGGAGAACATTTGCGGGTCAAACAGATGACCTAATAGAAGATTAGCGCTATTAGGGTGAGTCCAAGGAGTACCTTAAGATATAGGGACGAGAAAGTAAGAAAGTTACAATTTGAGACACGTGCCCTACGGTTCTAAAGTCCTAAAGTAATTTTCTAGTCATTGGATGATTTATTGGGCTATCGAACATGTGCAAATGTATATTTACGTCGTTTTTGGTTTTTAATCTTGAACAAAATATGTAGAGGCGCAAAATAAACATATCAGTTTTTGTTTATGAAATCGACTCTAATGAACAAGAAGAGGAGAAAAACGGTGCGTGTTTGTTATTCAATATACTTGTTGAGCAACAACAAAAATAATCAATCTATATATATTGGATTAAATTGGTTAATGGACCTTTTGATCTTGAAACTTGTGAAAGGAAAACCCAAAGAAATAAAGTGTTAAAAAAGGCATAAAACCCATCTCCCACTCTGTCTTGGGCTCTTCGTTTGTTTTCCGTAAACCCCTGTTCCTCGTCCTTGCCTGCAGACAAACAACAGACAATGGCACCTCTGCAGCATTCTTGTCTGTAGTTGAAAGCGCCAAGTTCTTCCTCTTGCATGTGTTGGGCCTTTGATCCTTTGCACATCTATGGTAATGGTGTCCCAATTTCCTATATATGCAATTATACATACATACATATATATATATATATATATATATATATATGTTCTTGTTTTTGGTTTTCTTAGTTTAGTTTTAAATGCTTTACTCTTTTCTGCATATCATAGTTTTCCCCTATAATTTTATGCGATTATTTACTAACATTGATGCCATTTATTGTTGAAATTTGTATAAACCCCAATTGGGTACGGATCTAGGTTGCTTTTCCCAGTTGGGGTTTACCAAATTGGGTCCATATCCATGCCTTCCCCCCGCGCCGCGGCGTTTGTTAGATTTACTTTACACTGATTTGTTTAGTTTTGATATAAGAAAAAACGAAATCAAAATTCGGGTTGTTTTAGACTCTGTGCCTGGAATTGGGGTTGAATGTCACCACCTTTTGTTGGAACCAGATTTTAGTTGGTCTTTGTGGAACAGTTTTGAGTGATTGATCTTATTTGGTTTCTGTATTTATTTCCCATCCATCGTAATGTATGAAGAAAGACTGCAAAAGTAGAGAATTCAGCAAATTTTTTCGTTGATTATTTTATTGTAGTTAATGAAACTTGAAAAATGTCGTAGAAGTTTAACTGTATGTCCATCTAGGTTCCATATTGGCATCAAATGAATAGTTTCCTTTTAAGTAATAACCGTAAATGCAAAGAATCTGTTCTTTCCATGTTATTAAATACTTAGTATTGCGATAAAAGAAAGATGTGCAGGAAACAAATGTGGAAAGTGTGTGGTTTTCTATGACATGCATAGGGGACGTGTTAAACTTTTAATTTATGCGTGGCGTTACACACTACCCTACCCACCTTGAATTTGGTCTTTGTAGCATGCCTCAGTGCTAATTTGAAAAATAGATAATACTTTAGTCCGTATAACATTGCTGAATAAATAAAATGCAATCATCTAATTGATATGTTTCTTAATTTCGCACCTTAAATAGAATGCATAGATTTCTTCAGGGCATTAGAGAATATGTTAAGCAGACAAAAAGAACCAAAAGTTTCGTTGATAGTTATGCTTTATGATTTGGTGGCTTATGCCCACAACCTCATGACGTTTTAGTATTCTTGTCCAGTTACATTTGGATGGTTGAGTTTATTAATGCTTTTAAGTCCTGCAAAATTAGGCGTACAAATTATGTTGATTCTAGATGAACTATGATTTGACTGGAAAAAAGAATGAACTGGGATAACGCTGATAAATATAACTGGTGTGAGTTTCAGCAAAGTGATGTATCTTCTTGGATATGTCATGCTACAAAGCAATTATATTTGTTCACCGAGTGCCTTGTGCTTGCATAATGTATTGGGAAGTTATTGCTCTGCATCGCTTCTCCTTTTCTAGGGGTTTGAGGTATTGCCTTGAGGCAGAACAGGGGCATTGAAAACTGGAAGTTCAATTCCTTTGTCTGCAGCCATGTAGCTCTTGTGGAGATTTGATTGGGAATAGAATTCTGATGAGGAGTTGGGTGGTTGGAGCACAAAGATTGGTATACCACTTGGTAGCAGATTGTAAGCATGTATATTTTGTGCATGATGTGTGGTGTGGAAATGCCCAATGTTTGATTTGGAAGGTAACACATGATTTTGTCTATTATGGAGGTGTGCCTCTTGAACCCTATGTTTTAACTTTTATAAACTTGAATCACTAGGAACTGGTTTTGGTGGAGGATTTCTTCTAAGACTTTAATTGGAGTGAAGGTTTGTGGACTTGTGGTCTTGGGGACAGTTGGGTGAGGTGGAGTTTTAATATGGAGAAGAGCTTGGGTCTAAGATTTTTGTTAGCGCTCTTTTGGGGATTCATTATCATAAGGAAGCTTAACCTTTGGTGTATGCTTTTCGCTGACAATATAGTATTGATAGATGAAACTTAAGAGGAGTAAATGCGAAGCTTAACCTTTGATGGTAAGTGTTGGAATCTAAAGATCTTCGCCTAAGTAGGTTAAAGATTAAGTATATGGAGTGCAAGTTCAGTGGGAACAGAGGTTCAAATGAGTTAGGGGTGAGGATTGGAGATTAAGAAGTACCAAAGAGCGAACGCTTTATCTGTCTTGCAAAAGAACGGAGAATTGGATGGAGACCCTCAATCAAAGAATACAAGCTGGATGGATGAAGTGGAAGAGTGCATCAGGTGTATTGTGTGACCATCGTATGCCACTAAAGCTCAAGGAAAAAATTTATAGGACAACAAGGCAAGCAATCCTTTATGACACGGAATGTTGGGCAATGAAGCATCAACATGTACACAAAATGAGTGTAGCAGAAATGAGAATGCATCTATGCTTCGTTGGATGTGTGGGCACACGAGAAAGGACAAGATTAGAAACGAGGATATCCGAGGTAAATTAGGAGTAGCCGAAATTGAAGATAAGATGAGGGAAAATCGGTTAAGGTGGTTTGGACATGTGAAACGAAGATCTATAGACACTCCAGTTAGAAGATGTGATTACGAGGCAGAGGCTCAGGGCCAAAGGGGTAGCGGAAGACCTAGGAAGACTTGGAAAGAGACTCTAAGAAAAAACTTGGACTACTTGGATCTAACGGAAGACATGACACAAAACCGAGCGCAGTGGCGTTCTAGGATTCATATAGTTGACCCCACTTAGTGGGATAAGGCTTTGTTGTTGTTGTTGCTGCTGCTGCTGCTGCTCTTTTGGGCAAGGGACATTATTCATTAGAGGATTTTTGATGATTGAAAATTTGATCTAAACGGTCGGGTACTAATTAATAGATGCTATATCTGTAAGAACATTTTGTTTATTGGTATTGTGAAAATAGTTTCCTCGAAAGTAGCATTTCTTAAGTATAAGGACTTAATTTTCATTTTAATTAGGTTACCAAGTATTGCAATAAGAAAACATACGCATCAATGGGTATGCAGGGAATAATTGAGGAAAGTGTGTGGTGCTCCATGAAATTTTACTAATTTCTTTTTTATGGGCATGCCAGTTGAAATTTTACTTACGTATTGCATTACCCAATAACCCACCTCCCTTGAATTTGGTGTTTGTGGCAGGCTGCCATGCTGATGTGTATAACAAACATGCTACAAATTTTTGATACATATGGCATTTCTCAATCAGTAAATGTGTAGTTTTAGTTAAGATGTTTCTGTTTTAGTTTTGATATGCATCTTAAAAAAATTACAAGGAAAATGTTGCACTGAGTGCGGGAGATGATGAGGTATTGACTCCATGTAGAAGTTCTAGGAAAATCTGCTTTGGGGTCCAAGTTAAATTTGTTTCGGACAATAGAGTGCGTTGATTTCTCCAAGACGTTGACGATATGTTTGATGGAAAAAGCCCAATGGCTTTTCTCTTAGTTATGTTTTGTGAGTTGGTGTCTCATGCCATGACTTGATTGTTTTTGGTTATTCTCTGCCAGCTCCATTGTTGCATCTTGATTTTAGTGTCAACCAGAAACTTAGCAATCTCAGGTGTCATGATTTGTTGATGATTTTACATGGTGCTAAGCTTGTGCTGATACTGGTCATTGATCGATATAAAAATAGTCATTAAGAATATACCAGATGTCATATTTCAACAAATTTGATGCATGCCAAAGTGACAATTTTCATATTGGCAGGGTGGTATCTAATGCTTAAGTGACTATTGCTTAAATATGTATGTTTTAGGTCTTTTGGGCGTGCACAAGGCTCATTTAGGTTATTAACTGAAATTATTGCAGTGCATCACTTGTTCTTATAGGAGTTTTGAAATTTGGAGCAATTTGATGGGTTGAAGAAACTGATTGCCTCTTGCGAATGGGGGCTTCACACCCTGGAAGCTTAATTGGTTTTACGATGTGGACTTGAAGAGCTTGTGGAGATATTTTTGGGGAAAAAATTCTGATGAGGATTTCGGTGGTTGTATCACAAAGATAGTTATATAGCACATAAAAGAATTTTGTATTTCAGATAACACTTGGTAGGAGTGCATGTTATCAAGATGTGCGGTGTGCCCATTGAAGAGTGCTGACCATAATTTGTTTGATTTAAAAGCTGTAAAAAATGTTTGTATGTGTGTGATGGAGGTGGCATTTCTTCAATCCCTATATTTATTGTGGATTTCTTTAAATACTTCAATCGTGGTGAAGATGGTGGAATTGAGGACCTTCATTAGGACTTTTTTGGATTTGTTCACTAGAGGATTGTGATGATTAGTTCATCAAAAAGGGAAGATGCTAGTTATTGGTCGACAATGCTATGAAATTGCATATGTTATTTCTTTGGGTCTCGTATTGATGTTGGGATATATCAGGAGAGAGATTCTGTAAGCAGTGTCAATGCGTTTTTTCTTGTGTTTGTGGTCCACATTGCATTAGAAGAGTCATAGCAGTCTGAGGGACGCGAGGTATATGGGTCAAGGGTGTTTAGTGTTTCATGTCTATGGCTTTATATAAATTCCGCTGGTGTATGATTCCAGCAGGTCCTTAGTCTTTAATTTCTTTTTTCTCTAGGATTCGGTTATTTCCTGTTTTATTAGGTTTGTTCTTTGATTAATTACACCCTTATGATTCCCTTTAGACAGATTTAGTGATTGAATAAAATTGATGGAACTTTGCTTCTCTGTAGGTTTGTGTGATTCCTAGAATCCCTATTGGTGTAACCCTAGCAGTTTCTATCTTTTTCTCATATTGTTCTCTAACAGTTTTCTCTAACCCTTTATTTATTTTTTTTTATTAATTTTTTATAATTTAATCTTTTCCTGTGTTTTTTATACAAGTAATGCGACCATCAAGAAATCTAAACGGGTTGGCATCCTTTTCTATTAGAAACTGAGCATGTCGTGCTTCGTACTCTGTCCCGGAGTTAAAGATATTAAAAGGATTATTCTCTTCATTTGTTATTTTGGAACCTTTAAAAAATTTTGTTTACTTATTTATGAGGTGGTTGTATTTATTTTATTTTGTTGAAACTTCTCTTGGCGATGTGGGATGAAAGTGGTGTTTATCCAAAAACGGGTGTTTGAGGATATTGCTTACTACAAAGAAATCAATTAGGGTTTAGTCCTTCTGCTTTCCTTGTAGTGAAATTTTATAATACTGGCCCACCTAAGGCAGCTTCTTAAGTAGGTTTGACTGTAGATATTGTAAGCAAACAGTGGAATCTGTAAATTACTTTTTCTTTGTTTGGTTGCCCCCTTCCTTGTTAGAATTCCTTGGACGATGAAGAGTCTGACTTTCTTTTTCTTTTTTTTTTCATTTTTTTTTTCCCAACTGAAGAAGTGCATGAAATTGTGCAATATGATCCCCATTTTTAAAACTTGTTTTGCTTGTTGGAAACAGAGAGTTTGATGCTGTAGAATGAGGAAAACTTTGGGGGATGCCTCTTCTGTCATATGAAACTCATATTTCAAACATATTATAGAGTGATTCAGCGTGTTACTGTGGTACTTTGAAGCAACAGACCAGATATTAGTGAGGTGGTTTCAGGTGAAATGCTGAGTCTGAGTTTCCTTCCTAGTTCAATTGAAGCTGCTATATTTTGTGTATCTAATCGTGGGTTACACGATGACTTATGTGATTCGGTGCCTGGTGCTGAAACTTGGCAGATGTGTACAAAATGCGATGATCATTGCAGTTGCAGAAGAGCTCAACCAATTTCTGAGGAAAACAAGAATTTTGATGATTCCCGCTCCTTGATTTTTAAAAGTAGCTCTTCCCAGCTTTCAGCAGTCACCATGTCTGAAAGTTCTGCACCTAATCTCGTTTATAAAAGGAGGAAGTTACGAGGAAACCCTGTCACCGGGTTTCCAGGAGGTCGAGAAAACACTATAAGTGGTGATTATTTTTCTTTTCTAAATTCTGAAGCTTCTGCAGTTGCTGGTAAGGAACGACTTGCTTCTCAATTAGAGCATGAAACTGAAGCCACTCGAGCTCATTTTGTAGCTCCTCGTTTATGCAAGAGAGTCTCTCATGTTTTAAATTCAGAATCTTGTAATGGATGTTCTGCTGGTGAGGAATTAGTTTCTGATGAAGCACCTAAAAATAACGTGCAAAAACTTTTAGAGGTAAGCAGCGTAAATGATAGTTGTTCATCATCAAAGTCAAATATGGAGCATGCTTCAACTTCCATGAAGACTTTAGTACATGAAACAGGTGAGTGCTCCTCTTCTAGTGCAGTAGTTATGGAGGTTGTGGGAGACCTGTCTGAAAAGGATCTATGCATCTCTATTCTTAGAAGCCATGGACTGCTTGGGGATTCCCAGGCTACCATGAACAGTGGTTCTGCTGAAGACACTGGCACCATTGGCAGTGACATCCATCGCCGGTCATGCACAATTTGTAGTCGTTCTGGAACCACTTTGAAAATGCTAATTTGTGATCATTGTGAAGAGGCATTTCACATGTCGTGCTGCCACCCCCGTATGAAGAAACCTCCTATTGATGAATGGTTCTGTCATTCTTGTTTGAAAAAGAAACATAAGATTTTACAGGAGCAAGTGACCCAAAAATCGCCAAATATCACGAGTGTCATGAGTAGGGAAGCATCACCCAAGGGCCAAATGAATCCCATAATGTTAATGTTGAGAGACATTGAACTGTATAGAACTAGTGTTCGGGTTGGCAAAGGGTTTCAAGCGGAAGTTCCTAACTGGTCTGGCCCAACAAATGGGTATGTTTATTCCGTTATTTACTTTTGATGCAGTTGAAGTTTATAGACTGCCTTCACTAGTTGGATTATCCTTGTGAAAACTGCCTGCTTTACTTGTCTCTCTTCCTTTCGATTGGTCATGTTTCAAATGATTTGTACTAAGAAGGTAGCCACTACGTGGTTTATATAGGAGGGTAAGTAGTTTCATTTGGTTTTGTGCTTTGAATCCTTGTTTTCAGATGACTTAGCATGCCAGGTAGGACAGATCTTCTTGTTTCTGCTGCTTGTATTCCTAAACCATTGGCTTGCTGCCCCGCATAGTTACCTGTGTGGGATCTTTTTTTCTCATGTGTTCTAGGAAAGAAAATTGTCATCATCTGCCTTTCCTAACTCTGTTCCGAATCATTATTTTCTTTCATTTTGCATGTTACTTACAATGTACAGCTTTTGTTATTTTGATTTGATATAGTGATATCAATGGCATTGGTGAACCATTGGAAATAGACTCGTCAGAATATGCTAGATTCAATGTAAGTACTTGACGTGTCTTTATTTGTAATCCGCTTTTCATTTGGCATGAGAGATTTGGAAATTTTATGGAGTAATGGCACATCTTTCTGTTGTAGGGGCTGAACTGCAATAAACCTTCTAGACATAGCTCTATAGGTAATTGGCTTCAATGTCGAGAAGTTGTAGATCGCTTAAACAGAACTATTTGTGGAAAGTGGCGCAGGTAATTTATTTATGGTTGTGTTAACACTTAGCTGGAACCTGTGAAGGTTGTGATCTGATTATTTAGTTGGAAGTTTTCTGATATGTATGGTAATATATTTGAGTGACATTACTTTAACGGAGAACATGAAACACCGATACGAATGTATGCATGTTGTTTTTGACTTGTCAACCTGATCGTTGTAAAATATTTGAGAGATAACCCCAATCTAAGACTGATGGTACTTTAGATACTGGAAGAAAGCATCAAAGCTTCCCTTCTTTCCTTTCCTTACTCTCGATGGGTGTTTTTATTCGTTTTCCATCTCTCTCATTCCTTGGTCTTAGTGATTGAAGATTAAGATTTGACACTGGAACTGGAAAACCAATTTGGATGCCAAAAAATCAACAATGGGACTTATTTATTTGATGAGAGTAACACACTGCAACCTCAAAGACTTGACGCATTTAAAAAATTTAGCAACAATTTCTCGACCTACCCCTTTATTTGGATGGAGAGTGATTGAAGGTTGGCTGAACTCATGTTTCTCTCCATCCTTATAACCCAAATCGCAGCTAAGACACTGCAATCTAAAAAACTTTAGCCTTGTTCCCACCCGGAACCTTGTCCTTCCCACTTGAAATTATACCACAAATCTTACGGCTGGATTATTTTTTATGGAAATTATCTCGAAATATAAAGTGCACAAAATAGTTCACAATGAGTTTTTTGGTATCTTGATATGTCACTTAATACTATTGATCTAAAGTTGTGTTATATCGCTTTTGTTCTCTTAGTCTTCTACTTTTGTTGTTGATTATGCTTGACATTTTAACAAATATGGAAGATTCTCGTATAGCAGGGCTCCTCTTTTTGAAGTCCAAACTGATGACTGGGAGTGCTTCTGCTCTATCCTTTGGGATCCAAGCCATGCTGATTGTAACGTGCCTCAGGTGGACATATCACTGACACTATTTACATCTCTATTTATAGACTAGTTTTGAATTTTAGAATCTTTCGTATAAAACTCTCAGAATTAGAGGAGTAACACTAGTAGGTATTCATCCGCTCAAATTCTCTTATAGGATCCTTAAACGTGATCACATTTTTTCTGTGACCCAAAAGAATGGATCACATTTTAAACTGCTAGATTAGATATAAATGGTTGGGATTGCATCTCAACAATTGTGCACCTCAACTATCCATATCGAACCTACTGAGGGTTATTGGGATTTCATTCACTCGGATTTTGATATGACATGACTGAGATGTAGTCATTGGGGTAGACCACCTCACTATTGTATTATGTCAATGTATTTTGCTTCCTTCACTTTGATTTTATCTTTGTTCTATGCTTTCTTCACCTTCATTATAAGCTGGTCTGTGTGGTGGCCATCTTTAAATCTAACGTCATCCCTCTTCTTTTGTGTTTGGCCCAGGAACTGGAAACGGATCAAGTTCTAAAGCAACTGAAGTATATTGAGACGGTATGTTACAGGCACTTGCTCCAATAAATAAGTTTTTGGATATGCTGTGTTCATTCAAGTTGTATAAAATGATGAGTGCTGACTATCCGGAACCAAGACTACTGTTTGAATTCAATCTTATTTATTTTAGTCAGGGTAGGCATGGGTAGATTTAGTAAGAGAGTTGAAATGAGACGCTAAAGATTAGTATTCAAATTTATACGATGTTGCATGGTTTCAAATTCATGTGCTTTTGCTTGAAAATCCTTTTCTGAATTCTTATATATGCCTAATTGCTCCTCGTAGGAGCATAATATTATCGTACTGGTTTTTCTATGGGTTCTTATTAATTTCTTATGATGTGTAGCTGAGGCCCCGGTTATGTGCTAAACGGCATACTTTGGATGGAACCAAGAGTGCTGGTGATCTGAAAACCCCCATAGTAGGTACAAAAAGTGTACAAACTCTATGATATGATGAAAACTTGTGACAAGCGTGTATAGAACCTGGCTCGTTGAGTCGTTGTACATCATAGATATCAAATCGAGTTAGAAATTTTGACCACAGTTAACTGGATTATGGTTTTTGTAGGCAAAGTGCACGAGCCACTGGCTTCTGTGCCACTCTCTCTCTCTCTCTCTCTCACTCTCTCACTCTCTCTCCCTTTTTCTCTTCTTTTGTTGTTGTTAAGCTTAACCTCCTTGTTAAGTCACCAGTGTTTACTGTTTCATCTTTCAATGGGGTTAACTGGAATATGCTGGACTATACAATGTGACAAGTCTTTTTGCTGCATCAAGATATAAATTAAAATGCTTCTTTTTTTGAGGTTGCAAGGAATTGAAATTGGGTCTATCAATATGCCTTGGTCCTATTGAATGTTTGATCATCCCATTAAATTGATGACACGTTGAGCTTGGGACCTTTATATGGGCTAACCTGTTATTTTAATAGAGAATTAGATGTTTAAAGAGATAAAATATATAAATTGATACAATTCTAAAACTTTAGTGTGCAATTTGAGAAAAGTAGGACTTCGTGGTCTTATTTGAAAATCACCACAAGCTGGAAGTGTAAAATGTAGCTACCACCTGAAAAGTATTTCTGTTACGATCTAATTTATAGAAAGAAATAAAGGATGGTCATGTAACCTTGCTCAACTAGCCTAACTCCCATTTGTATATGATGTCATGTTGTTTACCAACATCCCATTTTCATTTATCACCAGCCTCGTTGGGTCTCTAAGACTGGATTAGAATAGATAATTCTCTAAATTCAAGGTACATTCAAGTGAGAATTATTTTTCATTTTAAGGGATTAGTCATGAATGAAATGCTTCCCTTCTAATCCTTCCATTTAACGAATAATTATTTTTCTTCTTCAACCTAACTTTAGAACAAACGAAGCCGCTAGGTCCAATGTCATAATATAATTGGTTGCAAAACTTGAATAAAATAAAAAAATTAACCAATTATTCCCGGCACATTGAAAATTTTCTCTAATGACTGATACAAAAAAATGCTATATTTCATTCAGAAAACTGTCAAATCATCAAACATTTTCCTTTACTTCTGCTATTGGAACATAAATCACAGACTGTTCATGCAATCGAGATATATTTGATTTCTGCTTTGCCTTCACGATTTGAAATTTCAATAATTTCTGTCTCATGTATTCTAGCCTACCTTTGGCTTTACATAGTCTCTCCATTTCGAGCTCTGGAACTCGACATCCATCTTCACCTCCTCCAGCGATAAGGTTGGCTCTCTTCTCCTTTGTTCGTGTATTCCTAAGCTTCTTCAAGCTCACATCATCACTCAACTCTTTTCCATCCTATATGAAAGCAAACCAACACATGAGTAATCTTTGTTTTCACTTTATATTTTCAACACAGATAATTGGCAGTAAATATAGTATCTAAAAACCAAAAAAGTCCCTAATCTGCCACTTTATATTTTACGAAAAATAAGTAGAGACAAGCACAAGTCTAAGAGAAGATTTAACCAAGTGAACTAGTTGAGGAAGGCAAAGGCGAGGGTTCCTGAAGAATTCTCTGATATACCAGAATTCTTCTTCCTACAAAAAAATAGTTCTGGGAGATAATTGTATGAGAAGTTTTCTTGCACGTATGTAAAAAGGTATGATATGGGGATTCTGAGATCGCAAAGTCAGGTGAAGTGCAGTTGGTTTCCAGAAACTCACAAACCTTATTCTGAAGGACAAAGACCTTGCTGCTCTTTGCACGTGACCCACACGAAGGACCCTTCTGTTGACTCTTCTTCAAAGGGCTGCTTAGTGATTTTGGATGCTTTCTCCGGAAGGCCTTAGCATTCTTTGGCGAATGGACGACAGTTTCAGCTAAGGTATCATCATCTGAATCTGATGCCATGAGATCAGCAGCTTTTCCAGTCACATTTTCATATCCCGGTGCCTTGGAGATTCCAGGAGTAAAAGTGTCAAGGTCTTTACCACTCGCTCCCTGTTGTGCAAAAGATCCATTAACATAGTTTATTGAGAGACAAAAAATCCTCAGGAGTTAAGATTTAAGATCCTAACTCTCCATGGCTCATTCACCAATATAATCTTCGTTTAAAAGATTTCCAACTCCATACAAACCTTTGATTTAGTAGCGATAACAAAGAGGCTAAAACAGATAAATGAAAAAAAATACAAAAAAAACAACAATAGTAGAATCGAAGAAGATGGGCGTATGAGAAATAACATGGACAACTAGCTCACCTTTCTGGTTTTCAGAGCTAAGTAACGTGCGTTCTTGAACCATTTACTAACCTGGAAATTGCAACGTTAAAATTATCAGAAGCTACAAAACCATACCTACACATTTTGACATTCCTTCAGATTCACACCATAATTCCAAATTTTCAATAAAGCAGAATCCAGAAAGACAATGTATTTGACTGGATGAAAAACAATTTGGCAAGCAATAAAACTCATACCGAGCAACGAATTAGTTGATTGTTCAAGAAGGCACAAACAATCTGTAGTTCATCCATCGCCATTACCTTCTCAGGATTAAGGCCCAATTCTTTTGAAAGATTATCCTTGACAGCTCTAGAAGGAAGTTCATTCTCAGAAAACACTTGGCGGAGCTTCTGGAATAAGAAATTACAGCAGAAATTTTAGTCTAGGAAATTACATATACTACCATCAGATTAAAATAGCTACGCCAGAATCATTATGGGTGCAAGTGAAGAGAGAGAGAGAGAGAGAGAGAGACAGGGGAAAGGGACAGGTTCTAATACCTCTACTGCATTTCGAGGAATTCGGAAACATGACCTTCTAACTTGCGTATCTGAAGAGTGTTGGCTGGATTTCTTTTCTGAACGGTCAACATCTGGATTTCTTTCACTTTCATAGAGAGTCATAAGAGTGCTGGCTGCATCAGATTCATTCCCTCTCCGCTTTCTTTTACCGGGACCCCAGTCTTCATCATCACTAATTTGTTCAAGCAAAGGACCATCTTTTCCAAACATTTCCTTAGGAGAAAACAAATATGCAACACAGTGAATATTGGACCGTCACCTCAAAGAATGATTGTTATACAACAGATACAGTGCCCCATTATTATCCACACAATATAAACTTTAATTAAACCTCAAAGGGTTTAATATATATTGATTAAAATATGATACGAGCATTTCAAAAGTTGACTATATCCTAATAGGCATGTTTTATTACCAAACCATCCACAATCAAATATATAAAGAACACCAGCAAGCAATTTCTAAGTAATTCATTATCTCGAAATTTTTAACTCTCCTATGTCAGACTCAAAAGTGGAGTCCAGTTGAATGTAAAGATAAGGTACAAGGAATTAAAGGTCATACTATAATTAGAAATTTAAAAATTACAATTCTCGAAAGGTTGAGTCGTGGAAACAACCTCTTTGCAAAGCAAGGGTAAGGCTGCGTACGATAGACGTTTTGCCCGACCCTTGCTAAGAGGGGAGCCTTGTTGGCTTACGGTTGAGCCTTGTTTTAAAAAAAAAAATTTACAATTCTGTTACCAGTCTAGAGTTCTATCTCAATTTTATTTATCAAGAACAAGTGGAAAAAAAGAACTTAAAAAATTTGGGCTTCCATACTCACATCATATAACTTCTTATAATCAACACTTCTTTTCTGTCTGCGGCTGGAAACAATTTCCCCGTCAGTAGATACATCAGAACCTACACTGACATCAGTTGACAATTCCTCTTCTGATGCAATGTCATCGCTGCCTCCCCTGCTGATGCTGCAGCTGTTCTCGTTCCTCTCTGGATTATAATCATCATCTTCAGAATCATCCGAAGGCCATTCTTCATCTGGATTTAATAAGGAATTCTTGCCATGGGGGAAAGTGGCTTCTTCCTTGAAGACATCCTATATTCCGTAGAGAGCCATTAGTTATAGGAATTATTAAAGCAGCAAAACCAAAAGTAATTGGGGGTGAAATTTTGACATTTCTCAATGATTTAGGCAATGACTAACCTGCCAACCACTGTTCATGGGAAAGCAGGTCCCCAGATGAGCATTTACTAATTCTAGTATTTCCATTTTACACTCACAAAATTTGCAAAACCAACCTTGCTCTCCTCGAGGAACTGTAGATTAACAATTGAACTTAGAAGTAGCTTTTGCTAAGAAAACATAATTAGTATGCCGCCAAAAGGTCCAAAGCAAATTCAGAAGAGGTGAGAAACTTACTATTTTCAGTATCCAAGGGAGGATCAAGACATTTTTGGTGGAATGCACAATTGCATGTCCCATCACATAGTATAATATCATTATCAGGGAAAGCTTCGTTCAACTTGCACTTTGCACAGAATATCTAATAGAAAGAAAAACCAGAACGTGAATAAGCATGAAACCAAGATAAGGAGGTATCACCTCATATGAGGTATTATTTCCAAGGAGAATCAGTTCTAACGAAAAACAATAAAATCATTCTTGCTCCAAAACTATCAGTAGCCTACGCTTGGGAGCTATCGGAAAGGCCAGACCTTAGCAGAGACCACAATTAGGGGATCCAAACATCCCTTGTCGGCACATACAAAAAGGATAGTAATGCCATGTACTTACATGTTCATGAGAAACAGATCCATCTGGAGAAATAAAAGAATCTGCAATGCTTCCTACTGAGCTCAGAGAATCCAGTTGATGAATTGCATCACGGATTCCAAGCTTGCAATTTAAAATCTGCTTATTGGCTCTCTGTAGTTCCATTTCAGGCCTAATCTTTTCTCGACTGTGATAAAAGTAATAATTAAACGAATTAAACCGCATAACTATTTACTATAGAAAGGAGCCCAAGAAAACACCGCACATTCTACATGCTTAACTGATCATCATCACTTGCGTATAATAAAAATGATTGCAATTTAATTCAAACATGACACTGCAATGTTTTCAGTTAATTTGAGACTTTGAGTACATAAAATTTACAAGCTTGTGCTCCTGCTATTAAAATGATTGAAAATGTACATTCATCGAATAATCAAAACATTAGCTTCTAAAACTATCCAGTCACCTCTTTATTAAAATTCTATTTTAACATAAAATATTATTCTTTTCAAACCAAGACTTGGAAATTTCATGACTCTTTTCCTATGTCTAAGCTTAAATACTAAATCATTGATAGAACTTATGAGACATATAAAGGAGAAATCAGGAAATGAAGATATGTATTAAATGATCGCACATACCTCTGACCCTTCCAACCTTCACCGGCATAAGCGTCAATAAGGTTGTGCTCCAGTTTTATTTTAATCAAAAGGTACCTTGTCCTCCTCTGCAAGCGAGAAGTTTCATCCAACTCCTCCTTATCCTTTTTCGGTTTCTTCTTTCTCCTCCTTTTTTCTCCTCTCTCATCAGAGCCGTTGTCTGATAACTTGTTGTGTTGAAGTTTCACAGCAGACGGATTTTTGGAAGAATCTGTATCATGCTCTTTACGAAATCCTTTTCTACTCAGCAATTTATTGTCAGCATCATAATTCCTTGACGCCTTGCTTGAAGAGTTGGCGCCTCTCTTCTTTGACAAGGCTGAAGCAATAATGGTCTTGGACGACTTTGATTTTGGTTTTTTAACTTTTGGCGACGAAGTTAGGTTTGCCAGAGAGCCGGAATAACCGGGTTTCCCGTACTCCTTAAAGGATGATTTCTTTCCAGGAACACGCATATTTTTAACCAATGTATCGGTACTGAAAATCAAAACAGAAATCAGGTTAGCATTGACAAAACAGCTCCTCTTTACGAAGTAGATAATTACTTAACTACTGAACCAAAAAGAACAATTTCAACATAGCAAAGTAATCAATGAAACAAGACTGAGTTACATGCAATCATCTTTCCTACAAAGTGGAATATCAATGAATTAATCAGGTGATATGTCAATGCAGACTCAGAAGCAAGCATGTGACCTTCTGCCTCCCAATCGGAAGATTTTATTTGGAAAAAACAAAAAAACTCAGATCACAAAATTCAAAGATTGGAACAGAGCACCAAACCTCACCTGAAAAAGAATGGAGATCTCTATCAACTGTTGGCCTTTGAAGCTGCTGCAACATACACACACATATACATTCATATATAAGAGCAAGAGCTTTGGAATTGTCGAGGCATTGATGGGTTTTGGATTAATTGCTCCAACAATTTCAAATTTTGAAACTTTTTTCGGTTCTTTGGGGCTTTTCAATTGTGCTTTTCGGTTAGTACTCGCAGTCGCCGGCCGGTTTTGTTCTTCCCGAAGCGCCACCCGAAGGTCCCTCTCTCTCTCTAAAAGGACTATTACCAAAAAAGTCCTAAATATAATGGTTCAGTTCTCGAATGCTCGACGTTGGATTATCTTTTTGCTGTTGATATGCATATAACATACGAACGACCAATATGATTCCATCATAGAATATTTTTCTGATTTTTTTTTTAAAATTTTAATTTCTTTAAAATTTACTCACAACTAATTGATGAATTCCTCTACACAACTTGTAACTAATCGGTGAAGTGTAGTAATATATTTATGGGAGCTTTAATCAAAAGGGTTTGGGCCACTATAAACTATTATTTAATAAAAATGATTTAAATTTTAATCATAAGGACACAAAATTTTTACGAAAACTAAAACACACAGGCTCAACAAAAAGCCCAAACCGCATAACAATTAATATTCCAAAATTGCCCCTAACGGAGCCTAACCCAGGCCCGTTAGCCAAAGTTGCAGTTACTAAAATTCATCATCCCTCCAACGCCATTAATGTTCAACGCTGGAGAAGCAACGGCGGCATAAGCCGTGGAGGAAGAGGAGGCCTTCCGCTTCTTGCTCACTTCTCCCTCAGGAAAGCAGCGGAAGAAGAAATTGGGACCCTCTGGAGGATCGATGGCAAGAGAGAAGGATTTGAATTTGCAGTATGTTGCGGATCTCTCGCAGTCAAGCTATTTGTTCACTCCGTTCTCACCGACGTTTCCTGCTTCCACTTGAAAGAAAGGCAGACCGCTTTGGTGAGTGTGTCTCTTTCAGATGCCAATGTGCAGTGGCTGTGGTGGAATTGGGGTTCGCGGAGGAGACGACCAGATTTTCAGTGAGAGGAGAGGGGTGATTGATTTTTTGTATTTATTTTTTTGTGTTTAATTGCATCATCTTCATTAGGTATATTTTCTGCAAAGTAATTGAAACACCCAGTGAACTCTGATCTTCTGCTGACTATATGTCCTGAACTTTATTCGATATTAGGAAAAGTGAGGAAGAAGTCACGGACAATGAGCAAGCTGAAAACTGGTTCTCTTTTGACATCCACCCAGCGCATTTGTGGTGGGTAGTTTTCACATCTAAACTTTCATTCCATTGCCATTCCTCTTTTTCTGTTGTTTAAATGGATTTTCTTCTACATGCGGCTTATTTATGCTGCTGTTAAAGTGTAGTATGAGGATTCCATTCTAGATTGAGATGATTATCTGGTCTTGGCTTTGGCTTGATTGCCATTACCTTGTCTTGATTTCGCTTCACATTCTTGAGTTTCGGATTCATTATTGTGTTCTAGATATATATTCCCAATACAAGAATTTGCCATTGTTAAAGTCCTAGGCTCAATATGTAATCTGTACTCTCTATCTCAAAATAAATGTGGTGATTATAATTGAAAACTTTAAGACTACTGTAATTCTATTGCTGATTGCAACCCCGTGCTTTGTGTAGACATGTTCATTGCTCTTTGTAAAGATTCCAATGGATCATTGACCAAGCAGGAACTTCGAGGATATGCAGATGGGACATTGTCGCGTAAGTCGGAGATGCCCAAGAAGATCAAAAGAAGGCCAATGACTTGATGAACATGGCTTTTGTAGATCCAAAATTGCTGTTTTTTTTTTTTTTTTTGTCTCCCTTCAGCTTCTCTTTAAGCAAACATGTAGAGAGTATAAAAATCCAACTTTTGGGTTTCTTTAGGGTTGAGCGGGAGAGAGATTGGGCATGCAGAGAAAGTTGGTAGGTTTTTAAAGGGAGGAGTTGTAAACTTACAAATGTGAATTATTATACAATTGAATACTGAATATGTATTCAAATGAACATTGGTAATAGCATTATTTATTAAACTAAACACTACCTATTTCTCGAATTGAATATGAGTACTATCATTCTTTCTTAAACTGAAAGCTGACTATTTATTAAACTAAACGCTGACTATTTCATAAATTGAACATTGACTATTTCTTAAATAAACACAAACTATTTCTTAATAAATACTGACTATTCTTAAATGAACATTTGTACTATCACTATTTCTTAAACGGAATATTAATTATTTCTTAAACTGAACACTGACTATTTCTTAAATAAACACATGTTATTTCTTAAACAGAACACTGACTATTTCTTAAATGAACACCGGTACTATCACTATTTCTTAAATGAAATATTAACTATTTCTTAAACTAAACACCAATTATTTCTTAAACTGAAGACGGTACTGTCATTATTTCTTAAACTGAACACCGACAATTTCTTGAATTAAACACCGACTATTTCTTAAACTGAACATGAAACTGCCACTATTTCTTAAACGGAACACTAACTATTTCTTAAACTTAACACTGACTATTTTTTGAACTGAACATCGGTACTACCACTATTTCTTAAATTGAACACTAACTATTTATTAAACTGAACATTGACTATTTCTTAAACTAAACAATGGTACTACCACTATTTCATAAACTAAACACATACTATTTCTATAACGATTTAGGTTCGTGATACAAACAATAAATTCTAAAGTACAACGAAAGGGTGTCTTTAGTTTGCCTGTAAGCAATGTAGTTCGCCACTTCAATCAAAGGAGCAATTTTTGCTTACACGTATAAAGAGCATGGAAGATGCTTCGGGAATTAACATATTTGTCACTCATAATGCACCCTCAGCTAAATGATTAGGTATTATTTATGTACATACGTTTGAGATGTTATGTTGCAGTGTAACAATTTATGAGTGTTTTGTTCGAAAAAACGTTTTATGAATAGTATTTAGAACAACACATATGCAATGAACTGTATAGTTTTATTTGCAATTTGAATGTTGGTTTAGTGTAATCAAAGAATCAATACCAGCATTTTATTTACTGGGATTTCAGTTTTGTTCCATCTGCTCATAGTGCAATTGTTAATTCATAAAATGTGTTCAAATCTTCTGACTTTTATTTTCTAAAAATAATAGAGGAGATAGTATGCAACACTACATTATTATTAAGTTGGGTAGATACTATAGTTTAACTATGCACTTTTTTTGTTTCCATTCAATGCTCCATTTGCTTTATTTATTACATACGGAAAACAGCAAGCTAAATAGTCAGTGTTCCGTTTAAGAAATAGTCAGTGTTTAGTTTACGAAACAGTAATAGTACTAGTGTTCCGTTTCAGAAATAGTCAGTGTTTAGTTTACGAAACAGTGATAGTACTAGTGTTCCGTTTAAGAAATAGTCAGTGCTTAGTTTACGAAACAGTGATAATACTAGTGTTCCATTTAAACAGCAACTTAGCACCCTCGTTTTTTATAATTTGCTTAAATGCATCCAGAGAGCTACTATATTTAATTGCTGCTCCTTAGGTCATCATCATCTGTGGCGCACTGTGTCAATGGGGTAAGAAGCTAATCTAGCACCAATCGTAACTCCCCATCCCAACAATAAAACAAGAAGCTAGCAAAGAAGCTATCATGCAGGCCACCAGTTAAAACCACAGGTTTTAGAGAATCGTACATTCCAAAGTAAAGTCCACAATACACGAAAATTCCAACACAACTAAACCATTAAACTGCCTTTCAACCACCCTTCTTGGCAGCCTTGGCATCACTTGCCAAACGTGTTCTTGCATAGTCCCGAGAATATACAAAAAGAAGAGATGAAGCACTAGCAGCACCGCCTGATGCCAAGTTCCCAGCGAACCACTTCCAATAGCCATTTTTATCCTTCTTGAAGTTATTATACACTACCTAACACACAAAAAACAGTACCTGTGTCCAAACAACAAATGCTAATACCAAACTAAAAACCATAAGTCATCATTCCTAGAAAACAACTTTTATCTTATGCAGCAGGCCATGTTCCGGCTCGAGGACGAGTTCAGATCCTTGGTCGAACGCGGCGGCGAGTCACGAAAACTCAATCGCGTGTTTCGTGGTGAGTCGAATGGCATGTTGTCGTTTGACTCGGGAGATGATGAAGAAGAAGGAAGAGGAGGTAATCGGGGACGGTGAGGAACACCAGATCCCTACTGCTCAGCCGATCGATGACTACGACATCGTGATCGCGCTTCCTTCTGGAACCATCAACAACCTCCATGAGATTGCTAAGCGGATGGTGGCGGCAGGGTTCAAAAAGGAGTGCTCGCACGTGTACAGAAGATGCCGGAGAGAGTTCCTGGAAGAGAGCATGTCGAGGCTAGGCTTGCAGAAGCTGAGCATCGAAGAGGTTCAGAAGACGCCATGGCAGGACCTCGAGGACGAAATCAAGCTTGCAGATATTAGACGGAGAGATCGAAATAGGGAGGGAGAGATAAAGCTTGCCGTCAGGGGCAAAGGTGGAATGTTATTGCTTGGGCCATTCTTATTGGGCTGATTTAAATTAAAATTTTGTACTAACCATTAAATAAACTTGTAACATTGTTTTTGGTTAAAACTTAATGTTTTTAAACCTTTTTGGTTAGTTTTCCTAATATTTATTTGCTCTTCTTTTTTATCCAAGAGATATCTGGGAAGGAGAGAGATTAAATAAAAAGTACCGTACTTAACGAATGTACAAAATAAATTTAATCACTTGAGTTTGTTGTATACAATTACAATATAGTTTGGGTACACTAATGCAACAAGTACAATATAGTTTGGGTACGCTAGAAAGACACGTTGACTTGTACTTGGGTTTGAGACGATGCTATACTACATGTTAGAGCCTAGGAGTGGGCATCAAACCTACGAAAAGTCGGTTTAGTTTGATTTTGACCAAGAAAAAATGTCAAACATTTTAAAAACCGAATCAAACCAATTTACTTTTGGTTTGCTTCAGTTTTGATACTTTTGAAACTGACAAAAAGCAAACCGAACGAATCATGTATCTTTACATTATTAATTACTTTAATTTGCACCTCTAAGCTTATTGTCAGTTATTTAGCGACCTTACTATAAACATATTATAAGTTGTAATGACTAAGAATTAGGAGGTTTACATGATATTTATGTGATGTTCTAATTAATAAATCGTTTTTTAGCATGAGATTTTATTTAATTGAAACTCAATTCTTTTGACTTGATAAACTTTTTGTGTTCCGAAAAGCTTAATCTTTCAATTGAATTGAAATGCTTGAGAT